AGCTGCTCGAGCAGGGCCGCGAGAACATGACCTCCGACGCGAGACAGTGGGGCATGGCAAAGGTGACTGCGCTGGCGACCATGGCGCGTGAGTTCGAAGCCCTCTACTCGCTTCCGAGGCTCCCCCTGCGGGACATGATCGTGAACAGGGAAGTCAGGGGGCAACGTCAGGGGGGGATAGGCTCAGGGGGGATGCATCGACCCCTAACGCCCATTCATCGCCGATAGGAGCCTGATAGCCCACCCCGCCCAGGAGCTTGTGGATTCGCCATGGGGGGCCTATCGCCGATCTATCGCTGACTCCAGGTCAACGTTTCCTTCCTGAGCTGGTCCCCTCATATCGTTGACCCTCAGGAAGACAGCAGGTCGAAAGACTCGGGGATGGAGATGCAGGGGGCTGGCGCGATCATAGAGCCGAAGTCGGCTGTGCAGGCAGCGGAGGACGTGGACGGGCTGCCGCCGCCCCTGAAGGACGACGGCAGGAAGCTCGTGGTCCCGGAAACTGTGGACAAGGCGCTGCGTGCGAGACACAACGGGCCGCAGATGGAGTCGATCCAGGAGTCCTGCAAGGTGAGCGGCATCACGCTGGTCCAGGGCCCGCCGGGGACCGGCAAGACCACCACGATCCTCGGCATCCTGTCGGTGCTGCTGTCGGCTACGGCTAAGGCCAGCAAAGCAGTCTACTACGGGGCCCGCTCGGGCGCTGGGCGCGAGCGTGGCGCTGCCGAGGACTCGGAGTCCTCAGATGAGGACGCCGCCTCCATCGAGGCCAGAAGGCTCGAGCGGGTGCACACTCTGCGAGCCCGCACCAGGTGGTTGCAGGGCAAGTTCGTGCCGTGGCAGGACGCGCTGGAGCAAAATGTGCCAGTGAGCGGCACCAAGCGCTGGAGGGAGCCTTACCCGAAACTGAGCCACAGCGAGATCACACCAATGAGCGAGGTGCAGGAGGACGTCACTCCCAAGAAGGTGCTCGTCTGCGCGCCGTCCAACGCCGCTATCGACGAGGTCGTGCGGCGGGTGGTGCGAAACAAGTTGATCAACAGTAGCGGCTTGTTGGAAACGCCCTCGATAGTGCGGCTGGGTCAGAACGTCCACCGTGATCTGGAGGACTACGGCCTCGATAACATCGTGAAGAGGCGCGTTAAGTCGGGCCAGCTCGCGAACAAGGCTGAGCAAGACGAAGAGAGGCTTAAAATTCTCAAGAACGCAAAGTTGGTGTGCATGACGCTCAGCATGAGTGGGCACCGCGATATGGTGGGCTTTCCTGGGGACTTCGACACAGTCGTAATCGACGAGGCTTCCCAGGGAGTCGAGATGAGTACGCTGGTGCCCCTGAAGCTGGGCTGCCGCCGCCTGATCCTGGTAGGCGACCCGCAACAGCTGCCAGCAACCTGCTTCTCAGGTCTGGGCATGAACCACAAGTACAATAGGAGCTTGTTCGAGCGTCTCCAGGAATCGCAACACAAGGTCTGCATGCTGTCCATGCAGTACCGCATGCACCCCCTCATAAGCGCTTTCCCGTCGGCCAACTTCTACGACGGGAAGCTCACTGACGGAAAGGGCGTGGAGGAGTACGAGAGGGAAAACCCAGCGCCCTGGTCCAAGGTCAACTGCTTCGCGCCAGTTGTGTTCTTCGACCTGAAAGGCACCATGGAGACCTCGATGCAGTCATTCATCAATCTCGAGGAGGCAATGTTCATCGTACACCTCTTCGATACTGTCTCGAAGCTGTACCCACCGGCCAAAGCATGGTGTGACAGATTCGCGGTGATCTCCCCCTACAGGGAGCAGGTCATGTTGATCCGAGCGAAGTTCAATGCGTATTTCCAGCTGGGGACGAAGGAGGCCTGCCCAATTGATGTCAACACGGTGGATGGCTTTCAAGGTCGCGAGAAGGAGTGCGTCGTTCTGAGTGCCGTCCGCGCGGACGCTAGTAAAGGAATCGGCTTCGTCCGAGACAAGCGGCGCATGAACGTCGCCTTCACTCGCGCGCGCACGAACCTGTGGGTAGTCGGAGCGGCACGCGTGCTTTCCAGGAACGAGGACTGGAGGAACTTCATCAAGAAACAGGCCGAAGACATGCGCCTGCTGCGGGTCGGCGAGAGCAGCAGTATGTGGCTCCCCGGCTACACCGTCAGGTGGCGCGCGCGGCACCCGGCGGAAGCCGAGACCCTGCCGGCGGAGGCGAGGGGGGTTCTCGATGCGTGGGAGAAGGCTGGCGAGGGGAAAGAGGCGGCGCTCGCGGAGGGCGACGCCGTCGGCGCGGGCTTCACCTGGTCGGGCGAGGAGCTGGACGAGTTCCGGCAGAGGGACATCGACGCGGCCCTTCGGAATAGGAAGGACGTGGAGGAGGCGCCCTCTGAGGACGCTAGCTCGATCGAGGAGTACGACCGCGACGCGGTCATGCTAGACGACGAGCCCACCTTCGCAGGCGACGGTGGGGCGGACGAGCAGAGACCGAGTAAGGTGCAGCGCCTGGAGGAGGCGAACGCGGAGAGCGGGAACGAGGGAGAGGGCCTGTAGGCCCCCGTGCCTCCGGCGGCTGCCGTGCCCTGTCCGCGGCGCGATTGTGGCCGCCCTGACGGCCACATCTTCCTCCAGCGGCCGTCCCGCGCTGGAGCGCCTGGGGCCGCGCGCAGGTGCGGCGCGGCGCCAGCGGCGCTGGCGGCTGCGGTGCCCTGGCCGCTTCGCGATGCGGTTTGCCCTGCTGGTCGCCCTGCCAGCCGCGCTGACCCTTCGGTGCCCACCGCGCCTTCGGGCCGTGGCGCCGTCGCGCGGCGCCGCGGCGCCAGCGGCGGCTGCTGTGGCGCCACGCCCGGGCGCGCTGCGCGCCGCGCCGGTCGCCACCCGCGGGGTCGCGCGCCCCCCCCGCGCGCGGCCAAAAGGCAGCGCGGTGGGCCTGTGGTCTGTGGGGTTGCCAGTAAGGAGGGGTCAACAACAGGGGGGAGGGCCCCGTTTGGGCCTCCAGCGGGCCCTCCAGGGGCCCCAAAGGGCCACTTTACCGCACCTTTCCTGCAACCCTCGATCACCCTCCCCTGTATCGCTCCCCCCCCCCCCCCTCCCCTTTCCAGACATCCTCCGATCTGATTTTTTCAATCTGCGGCCCCAGAGGTCCCGACCCCTTCCCCGGGGGTGGTTTTCGTCCCGGATTCATGTTTGGTGGCCCCCAGGCCCGATAACGGGTCCTGGAGGCCGACAGTCAGATCCTCGAGGAGGAGGTGGAGGAGGAGGAGGAGGAGGAGGAGGAGGAGGAGGAGGAGGAGAAGGATCTGGCTCAATGGCCATCCGAGTCTGGCGGCCCTCCTTCCCGCGCGTGGCGAGGGCCAGTGCGCGGAGGCTCCACCGCGGGCGGGGCAGGGCACAGCCCCGAGAGGCTCGCGCGGGTGTCCAGGCGCTGGGGCCGACGGTGCCGACCACAGGGCCGTCGCAGGCGAGTGAAAATACGCCCCTACTCAGAGCTGAGAAAGCTTGAGGCTAAGAAATGGGCGTCTTTCCCCAAATCTCCGAGGATATTTTTTGCCCCACATCCAAACATGTGGGGTTCTTGTTTTCTCTGGACGCCCCGCGCAGGAACAGGAGCACCCCCTTCCCTTCTCACTCACACACTCCTACACTCGCATCATCATCATCATCATCATCATCATCATCATCATCATCATCATCATCATCATCATCATCATCATCATCATCATCGTCACTGCATCATCATCACTTGCACACCCGCGCACACTCATTCTCCAATTCACTCGCCCACTTGCAATTGTTACTGATTGCTCATCATTCATCACTCATCACTCATCATCATCACCAGCAGCATCATCATCATCATCAGCATCAGCATCATCATCATCATCAGCATCATCATCATCATCCTCCTCCTCCTCCTCCTCATCATCATCATCATCACAACACCGTCGTCAACAAAACCTCGTCTGTGAGTGAACTGCGAGGAGGTCTGAGGCGTGAGCCCTCTCCCTATGGGGCCCGCCGCTCATGGTTTTACATCCGAGCGGGTCATTGAACCGTGTAACTGTCGTTACTTTTGGGCCCGTGAGGCCTGGATATTGAGGAAACATCAGGCGGGAGCCTCGTCTGTGAGTGAATTGTGAGGAAGTCTCAGGTGGAGGCCCCCTCCCTATGGGCCCGCCTCATGTTTTCGATCCGAGCGGGTCATCGGCCTCCTGTAACTGTCGTCACTTTTGGGCCCCTGAGGCTTGAATATGGATGAAGTATCAGGCGGGAGCCTCGTCTGTGAGTGAATTGTGAGGAAGTCTCAGGTGGGAGCCCTCTTCTTATGGGGCCCGCCTCACGTTCTCATGTTTTTAATTTGAGCGGGTCATTGGCCTTTTGTAACTGTCGTTACTTTGGGCCCCTGGGGCCTGGATATGGAGGCTTTATTCGGCGGGTGGCGGTCGCGCTGTGCATCGCGCGCGCTACATGCACGGCGTGCAGGAGTCCGCGGACAAGCGGCCGCACCACCACTCTGGGCGCGTACCCATCGTGTTGCACCTCGGCGATTTCCTGCAGCTGAAGCCCACAGGCACCATCGGCCTCCTGACGGACGTGAGCGAACTCCTGGACGACGGGTCCTGCAAGTACGCGGAGCCGCCGACGGTGGAGATTCAGCACGCCATCAAGGTGTTCTCTCCGATCCCCTGCGTCTTCGAGCTGAAGGGCACGAAGCGCTTCGAGCCCTGGGGCCCTCTGATCACGTTCTTGGGCTGCACGCGCGAGGGCAAGCCCTTCCCGCCAGAGATCTGGTCCGCCTGGGACACGACGTTGGCCTCGGACGACCGCGGCGTCCTGGACCCTCGGCGCCAGCGCGAGAACTTTCGGCTCGGCTACGGCGTGGGCATCTATTGGGAGACGCTGGCGAGGTGGATCAACGCGCGCTTGTCGCGACGCGCGGCGTCTGGGCGCGCCTCTTTTATTCTTGCAGGCCGTGGACGAGTGCAGCGCGATTTAGGGCGATGCCGATGCGGGCCGGCGCCTCCTGAACGTCCCGAACATGCACGAGACAGGGGACATCCGCGGCGTCTTGGAGGTGCGATTCACGGCAGTGCGGGGGGAGCTGAATATGAAGAAGAAGAAGTTGGGGCTCGCGCAGGAGCAGCGGGCCACCGTCGTAGCCTTCGAGTTTCACCCCGAGGACGAGCAGCGGTGCGAGGAGTGTTCGCCGGGCCAGCTTTTCCGCCCCCGCTATCAACCGCAGGGAGTTTGGCTACAGGTGCGCGGCTTCAAGGAGTCTCCGATCTACCAGGAGGTCGCCGAGGTGCTGCTACATGGCGCCGAAGGCGCCGACGACGACGGCGAGGCCGAGGCGCGGGCGAGGAGCTCCCTCGTGTTCAGGCCTCGCAAGCAGGAGTTCACGTGGCAGAGCTCAGGGCCGCGCGCCGCGCGCTGCTCGGGGTTCACCATGGCGCGCGCGTCGCGCCTCGCTTTCTCGCTGTCGCAGGGCTGGGCGCTCAGCAGGGGCGTCGCCGTCGACTGCGCGAGGGGCGAGGACGCTGGTCGCGAAGGCGTGTCGGGCGAGCAGCGGTGGCTGCGCCTCGACGCCGTGTTCTCCCGCGCCACGCGCATGCGGGACACGCTGATCCTTCGGCCGCCGCCGCGAGAGTTCCCAGGGCGAGGGCCGCCGGCGTCTTCGTGGAAGGCTTGGGGGCGGCCAATAGGTGGGCGATGGTTAGGGGGGGTGGATATCGTGGCGTGGGCCATGATATTTCTTCAAATTTCATGACGCCTCTTCTTCTTTCATTACGTCTCTGGGTTCCCTCCTGGGCCGCGCGCATGCCGCCGGCCATGATTTGCGCACCCTCCCATTCTTTGACGCCCCCCAGCCCCCGAAGTGCGCTCCTGGAGTTCGACGTCGGAGCGGAGACGTGCAGGGCAGAGGCGGAGCGGCTCGCGGCAGAGCTGGGCATCGTGCTGCCCCCCCGCCTGATCGCGGCGGTGCCCCGCTCGGAGCCCGCGGGGTTGCCCCGGCGGCTTGGTCTCGCGCGCCAGCGGCTCGCGGGGTTGCCCCGACGGCCTCGCCCACGGGGCTGTCCCCGACGGCTGTGCGATTTCGCTGTCGGAGAACGCCCCGCTGTCAGTCGTGGTGGCGAGGGCGCCGAGGAGAATCCACGCGCTCTCCTGCCAGGAGGCAGGAAAGGTGCAGGAGGAAAGCGTGTGGGGCGGCGATGAGGAGGGGGTGAAGGAGGCGGAGGTGGGGGAGGGCAAGGCAAAGGCCGAGGAGGGGAAGGAGGAACATGAGGAGGAGAGGGAGGAAGTGGATGGGGCGGGGGAGGAGGAGGAGGCGGGAGAGGAAAAGGTTGAAAAATGCAACGGGTAGGACGAGAAGGAACAGGAGGAGGATGTGGAGGATATGGAGGAGGAGGTGGAGGAGGACGGAAAGGGGCGGAAGGAAACCTCCGCCAGAAGAAGAAGAAGGACAAAAGGCGAGAGGCACGCTAAATCGATTCCCGTGTGGGGTCCTACTGTCGGAGTAATTTCATTCGGGTGTTCCTTTTTCGATGCCGGCCTCCATGGATGAATCCAAGGCGACAGGGAAGGGGTTGGGACCTCTGGGGCCGCGGAGTGAAACATCATATCTGAGGATACGTATTTGGCTCAGGGCTAAAAGGATTTGGAAGCAGTGGACTTCAGTTTCACGTTTTTCTTCAACAGTAGTCCAGGCACATGCACAAATATTATACGACAGAGGCGGCCCCGAGAAGACGCCCAGGGTCCAGGCCAGATTCTCGGCATTCTCAAACGGAATCTGGAGTCCATGAAGGTTGCTGCTTTTTTCCCAACCATCCTGTGGTGTTGGGTCCTCGTTTTGAAGAGCCAGCGCCCCGCGTTCACTCCTCCTCCTCCCGCTGCCCCCTCCCTCCTGCCATCATCATCATCATCACCATCATCATCATCATCATCATCATCATCATCATCATCATCATCATCATCACCCCATAGAGAGCTCCAGCGAAGGCCCCAGTGGCTGCGCTCCCATGCGCCCACCGCGCCCATTTCGGCACACCCCTCACACGTTTCGTGGCCCCATAGGGAGCTCCAGCGAAGGCCCCAGTGGCTGCGCTCCCATGCGCCCGCCGCACAAATTTCGGCACACCCCTCATACGTTTCGTGGCCCCATAGGGAGCTCCAGCGGAGGCCCCAGTGGCTACGCTCCCATGCGCCCACCGCACACCCCTCACACGTTTCGTGGCTCATAGGGAGCTCCACCGAAGGCCCCAGTGGCTGCGCTCCCATGCGCCCACCGCGCCCATTTCTGCACACCCCTCACACGTTTCGTGGCCCCATAGGGAGCTCCAGCGAAGGCCCCAATGGCTGCGCTCCCATGCGCCCACCGCACCCATTTCGGCACACCCATCACACGTTTCGTGGTCCCAGGGGCTCCAGCGAAGGCCCCAGTGGCTGCGCTCCCATGCGCCCACCGCGCCCATTTCGGCACACCCCTCACACGTTTCGTGGCCCCATAGGGAGCTCCAGCGAAGGCCCCAGTGGCTGCGCTCCCATGCGCCCACCGCACAGATTTCGGCACACCCCTCACACGTTTCGTGGCCCCATAGGGAGCTCCACCGAAGGCCCCAGTGGCTGCGCTCCCATGCGCCCACCGCGCCCATTTCGGCACACCCCTCACACGTTTCGTGGCCCCATAGGGAGCTCCAGCGAAGGCCTCACACGTTTCGTGGCCCCTTAGGGAGCTCCAGCGGAGGCCCCAGTGGCTGCGCTCCCATGCGTCCACCGCACAGATTTCGGCACACCCCTCACACGTTTCGTGGCCCCATAGGGAGCTCCACCGAAGGCCCCAGTGGCTGCGCTCCCATGCGCCCACCG